TTTTAAGTTGAATTACTGAAATAAATTAATTTTTGCACGATATTCTAATTTTTCGAGTTTCACCTGTACATCTGTGTATGATGACGTCTCTGTTGTTCTGTCCAGCGTCGTTACGCAAAGCTCTGTCCATCCAGAACCTGGCCCAGATCGAGACGCCGTGGGAAGGAGTGACGCTGAACAGGTGTTTGATCGTGGCCATAGCCATCCTCCTGCTGACCTCCGGGTTACAGAGAATACACGGCAAGTGATCTCATGTGTGAGCCTGGACCACAACACCGGTCTCGAGTCGCACGGCAATAGCCAACAACACATGTATGGGTCAAAATTATACATTTTTCTTTTATGCCAGAAATCAGTAGGATATTAAGTAAAGATCATGTTCCATGGAGATATTTTGTAAATTTCCTACCGTAAATATATCAAACATGTATTTTTGTGAGTGAATGCAGCACAGTCGCGAACATAAATGCACAACTTTAAAGTCGATTTTCTCATGTTTCGTTTTTTTTTTTTTTTTTTTGCACCCTTATTCCAGATTTTCAAATAGTTGTCCTAACAAAAGCTTATTTATTCAGCTTTCAGATGATGTATAAATCTCAGTTATCAAAAGTTGACCCATGTGACTGGTTTTGTAGTCTAGGGACACATTTGGTAAATTTCATTTTCATAAAAGTAAAATAAATAATTATAAACCTTGTCTGAAGGTCGTTATGGCTGGTTTCATTTGTATATTGAGTCTCTCAAATGTATTGATAACAAAAAATGTAGAGATACAATCTTATTCACCAAAAAAGTTTTGAATTTTGAAATTGTATGCTGTAGCCTACTAATTTATGATTTATTTGTTTATTTTCTTCATTTTCATTTAAATCGAGAGTAGTATTGCCTATTGTTTCACCTTTTCTTTTCTTTTTTACGTATTGTAAACCTAATTTCTTTCTAGTTATTATCTTTTTGGATGTCTTCTTATAGTCGTTAATGTTTCACGTTTGTCTAAATGTCTAATAAATAAATAAAAAGGGGAAAAAACACGGCAAGTGTAGGCTACTAATGTTAACAACAACAAAAAAAAGTGTAGTAATGTCAACCACAGCTCCACATAATCTCACCTGAGGCTCAAATTACTTCTGGAAACATCAAATCTGATGTTCGGAAGATGATTGACAGGTGTTTCTCCTCACCAGAGACAGTCAGAGGCCGGAAGGATGAAGAGCTCACGCCACTACATGAGAGACACAATCTGATTAAAAGAGGGAAAATAACACCACATGAGGTGAGAACCAAAAAAAACACAAGGCATATAAAGGTATAAAGATGCAGGCCTGGATAATAAAGTGTCTTATAAAGTGTTGTTTTCTGTGTAAAGTAGTAATGGGCGCTTTCGAAACAGATACGAATGAACGAATCTGTTGTTTTGAATCAGTGGTTCGGAGTTTGAATCGAACACGCAGAGTCGCGTGATTTCAGCTAACGAGACTTTTCGTGACGTCATACTAAAATCGCGATGACGGTTCGTTTGAATCAATCTAATGAATTTGAACACTTCTGCATATAATAAAAAGGAGAATTATTGCTTCTAATTTAACTAGTTTGCCAAGCCCTGCCTAGGACTACAAATTAATAAAACACTACTCTCATGGTAATTATTTGCAGATGAAAACATTTGCAATTTGTTTGTAAAATGTCATTATTTATACTATGTTTGGACTGAGTTTCCATTGCGTTTGCAGTGTTTTACACCGGCCTGTGGTGTTTTACTTACAACATTCGAAACAGCGAATCATTTTATAAGGGAACTTTTTGATTCATAACTTCAAAGAGCCATAACTTTGTTTTTCCCCCTTGAACGAATTACACATTTGGCCTCTGTCTTGTGCAAAAAAAGCGCAACTCCTTTTAAAAGGTATTCACTTTTTTTCTCTTCTTTCTTTCTTTTTTTTTAATGCATCGCGCGTTTTTTTTTCGCGCACTACATTCATATGTCCTGTATCACTCCGCAGACTCGCGCCTTTTTATTTCTTTCACACAACTAGCGCCATCTTGCGTCTCAATGTATAAATATAGTATAAATGATCTCAGAACATTATTAATATTACTGTAATATTATTTCATCGTTTGTCTTGTATTGTACATTGTAATGGACTATTTTTTCTTAGCGGAAGGCGGTTAACATACAGATTAAAGGATAAAATAATTTAAACTCAAATCATTATTTCACATCTCTGTGTTTATTTATGTGGTGAGCTTGATATATATATATATATATATATAGATAGATATATAGATAGATAGATAGATAGATAGATAGATAGATAGATAGATAGATAGATAGATAGATAGATAGATAGATAGATAGATAGATAGATAGATAGATAGATAGATAGATAGATAGATATATAGATAGATAGATAGATAGATAGATAGATAGATAGATAGATAGATAGATAGATAGATAGATAGATAGATAGATAGATCGATGTCACAGGACAATATCTATGTGTATTAATAATCATTCGCCTCTGGATTGATCCTCTTAGCCGGACTCTTCCCTATGGCACATGTTGTTCTGGTGGTTTGATGATGATGATGACGAAGGCTCTGGCAGATCCAAGAGAGCGAATCTTGAGAGAGTTTCCAGGAGCCTGAGACACCGGGCCCTTCCAGAACCCCGGCTCCTGAAGACGAGAGCGACCCGGTTCCCGGAGCGCAGAGCGAGAGGACGAGGAGAAGACGAGAGTAAGGAGAGGCCGACGAGACGGAGAGAGAAACAGATGAAAGTCAAGAAGAAGGGAGAGGAAGAGAAGCAGGAGATGAAGAAACTGAAGAAACCAGCGAAAGAGTCAAAGCCGTGATGCAACGATGCCAGAAAACGTGCTTAATTATCATGAAAATGCAAAAAAAATCTATCTTTAGTAAAGCTGTCTTTTGATTATAGGGTGAAATATGTTCAGGTTTGTTAGATTCACTTTTACAGTCAAACCTAGATTTATTAACATTTCTCACATTATCACAGTTTATTCGCTATAGTTTAGAAAATGTTAATAAAACATGACAAGAACTCACTGGATATTTGACAGGTTTTGTCCGTCCTTCTGTTAGACTCACACATGAATTATGTTGAATATCTGTCAGCTGTTAAATTTAACTACACAATTAGATAATACCAGTTTAGCTCAACCAGTGACCAAGCAATGCTTCATGTTGTTCAGTCTGTGTGTAAAAAGAGCATTAGCAATTACAGAAAACACACTTCAGCAAAACATCATCAGCTCAATAATATTTGCTCCCAAATGTGTATAATGTCACTGTATGAAGAATATTTGGGTATAATATGTCACAGTTTACTTTATTTTGCTCTCCTCACTCACATAAATGAACTATAGTGTCTTACACACACTAGCAAAAATTATAAAAAATCATTTCTGGTGTCTGAATATTTTTTGGTTTGACTGTATATGCACACATTATGGCCTGGACTGATGATAAACTATAATTTGGTGTTTTCTGTTTTTGCTTTGTAAAATATTGATGGTTCGACCAGTAACCTTCGCATCATCTTCTGCTAGAGGATATTACGTTTCAGACACTACTGAAATTCTTCATTACTTTGTTGTATGATCAATAAGTTAAAGTAACAAAAAATAATACTTTAAGTATAACAGTTTCTTTTGGATGTGAGCAAAACATATATTTCTATGTTCTAAGAATATTGTCGCTGGTGCTTAAGATGAAGTCCCCCTAAATAACCCCTTTAAAATTCATCTTTGATCAACAAAATGACATATTTAAAAGTTTTTCCTTGGAAAAAAAAAGTCGTCACGCCTTAAAATATCTTGAATGTAACTCGACACCCTTGTCTCATTTAGTATACGCGGTTCTATGAATATGCAAATGAGCCCCGCCTCCACTCACTCACTCAGAGATCCACTGGTTGACGATCACACGTTGATCTGATTGGTTACAAGGTCGTTTGTGACGTCAGAAACACCAGCGATTTCAAACCGTGTACTATAAATATTAATAAATATTGCAGTATTTATTATAAATGATTTATCTGTGCACGTCTTTTTTTTTTTTTTTGGTAATCTTTAATCAGAATAACTTCCTCTTGCATGTACTCTGATGATGTGGGCGGGGCAACCTGTCAATCACATGAGATCCACCAATAGCAAACCACAACCATCCAATCAATTCCTCACAGACAAACTCAAGCCCCGCCCACATTTGCTTTTGTTCCAGAAGTTTCATTTATGTCAAAAATCATAGACTAAAAAATACGGGCGTAGTGTGTGTGACGTCACTCGTAGTGTTTCTGAACAGCATTTTTGAAGCCTAAAGTGGCCGTCGCCGTCTTGGATGTGAAGTGGCGTCACTCACGGATAAACGAACATGTGCAGCGAGGCGGATTAGCTGAGGTGACGTGACGCTAACAAACGGCTAGCAGTGACATCAGCGGCAATCCACCTGTCACTCAAGTGGCCACGCCCCTAATTATGCATAACTTTAAGACTGTAAACATGTTTTTTTCTGCTGTAAAGTCGGGCATTTTAACATGTGGGTCTATGGGATTGCAGCCGGCCTCTAGTGGCCAGTGGAGGAACTGTAGTTTAAGTCACTCAGTGAGAGAGACGGTTGCCGCTTGGTCAAAACAGGGAAGAAAAAACTAGTGCAACTTCTGTTTCATGTCAACTTTAAAGATGTAAAAACATAAAAATAACATTTGGACAGTCAATCATTGGACAAGTCTCAGATCCTCAGTATAAATTCAGCAAAACTACATATTTCGAGGGTTAAGCAAAAGAAAAAATGGTTTAGAAACATGTCCACGTGCGTCTACGGAAAAAAAAACTAGTGCAACTTCTGTTTCATGTTGACTTTAATAATAATAAAAAACCATAAAAATAACATTTGGACAGTCAATCATTGGACAAGAGCAGTGAGATGTACAAAACTACATATTTTGAGGGTTAAGCACATGAAACGCTTGTGTCCACGTAATAAACCTGCAGTGATTCAGAGATTGTGCATGCCGTCGGAGGGCAGCGGGGGCCTGAGGTGGGGGGGCAGGGGCATCTGCGGGGGCATGTGGTGCGGGTGGGGGGCTCCGGGGGGCAGGGGGGGCATCCCCGGGATCCCTCCGGGCGGAGGAGGCATGGAGTCGCTGAGGGACCGCGGCCCGAGGCCCGTGATCAGAGACGGGGGACGCTTCACGCCGACCGACGGGCCCTGAGGAGCCGCCAGAGCCTTCTCCATCTTAAAGTGGAACTGCAGGAAAAACTGGAAGAGAAGGAGGAGAGGAGGTGCATTTAGGAAATAGAGGTGGTTGGCTGGTGTTTTAACGGCGTGCAAACACTTAAGAAGAAATTTCATGGCGAGTAATAAGTAAAAAAAAAAGATATAAAAAAATAATTAAAAAAGGAGGTCCTATTCTGCTGTTTTAACGGCGTGCCAGCTAACACTTTAGAAGACATTTCATGGCGGATAACAAGTAAAAGAGTTCTCAATCTCAAAGTGGAAGTGCAGGAAAAACTGAAAGAGAAAAAGGAGGAGAGGTTGTGCATTTATGAAATAGAGAGGGTTGGCTGGTGTTTTAACGGCGTGCAAACGGTAAGAAATTTCATGGCGAATAACAATTAATAAAAAAAATGTTTTCTATGTTCATGTTTGGAACTTTGAAAAAGAAATATTTCGCAAAACTGCAATGGAAACAGTTTTTGTGCATTTACAGTCACATGACTTAGAAGAAGCGGTGTGTTTGGACAGAAGACAAGACAGAGTTCTTTATTAAACTCATAAAAGACTAAAGAATTACGGGAATACTGGATTCTAAACCTCAAAGAAATGCCACAGTCGAGAAGCAGAACTGAGGAGAAACACAGAAACTCCTCATATGAGCCGCTCACAGTCGAAGGGTCTTTCCTTGCCATTAATGCTTGGATCACACACACACACACACACACACACACACACACACACGTCTCCTTCCATTAATAATAATGTCTATTGGGTGGATGGGATACACATAAACCTACAAACATCCGTCGCCATGATTTCTGGAATGACTGATCGCGAGAGGAAAAAATTAAGTTTTGGTTGCATAACATTGGTTAAATGGAAACGCCGTCATTTCGCAATCGTTTTTTTGTCGACATTTAAAAAGAAAAAAAAATCGCAAATCTGTAATGGAAACGTCTAGTGTCAGTGTGTCTGGAAGAGGAGAGAGAGATTGTGTATTCAGCAAATAGAGATGGTTGGTTGGTTTTAATGGCGTGCAAACACTAAGAAATTTCATGGCGAGTAACAAGTCTAAAAAAAGTATATTTTAAAGAGGTACTTTATGCTTTTGTCCCATGTTCTCTTCTGTGTGATGTTGCTGTTTGAGCATGAACAAGCACCAGTTCTTCTCTATATCAGTGTCAGTGTTTCTGAACTCCTGAAACGCCTCCACTGTAGTCTTGAGTTTCTCCCGGGAACGAACACGTCACAATATTCCTCATTATAATAATTAATGCGCAGAATAAAGGGGCGGGGCCTGGTTGAGTTAGTCAGTAGTGTGTTAAACTGGCGGTTATGGGAAGGGGCGGGACATTTCCCAAACACACTCGAAGCGCTCGACCAATCACAACACACTGCTCCAGCCGACCAATCAGAGCACAGTGTGCTTTTCAGGAGGAGGGGCTTCACTATGATTTCTGGAATGACTGATCGCGAGAGGAAAAAATTAAGTTTTAGTTATTTCGCATTCGTTTTTTTGGTCGACATTTAATTATTATTTTTTTTAAACGCAACAGTTTTGCGCAAATCTGTAATGGAAACGTCTAGTGTCAGTGTTTCTGGAAGAGGAGAGAGAGATTGTGTATTCAGCAAATAGAGATGGTTGGTTGGTTTTAATGGCGTGCAAACACTAAGAAATTTCATGGCGAGTAACAAGTCTAAAAAAAAGTATATTTTAAAGAGGTACTTTATGCTTTTGTCCCATGTTCTCTTCTGTGTGATGTTGCTGTTTGAGCATGAACAAGCTCCAGTTCTTCTCTACATCAGAGTCAGTGTTCCTGAACTCCTGAAACGCCTCCACTGTAGTCTCGAGTTTCTCCCGGGAACGAACACGTCACAATATTCCTCATTATAATAATTAATGTGCAGAATAAAGGGGCGGGGCCTGGTTGAGTTAGTCAGTAGTGTGTTAAACTGGCGGTTACGGAAAGGGGCGGGACATTTCCCAAACACACTCGAAGCGCTCGACCAATCACAACACACTGCTCCAGCCGACCAATCAGAGCACAGTGTGCTTTTCAGGAGGAGGGGCTTCATAGAGACAGGAAGAAAACAGCGTTACTGACAGACTGGGAAGAGAGGAGCCGCAACAATGGAGAATATGAGGAGAATAATCAACATTCAAGCTGGAAAATTCTTCTAAAGTGTTTGCCGAGTAATATAATTTCCTAAGAGAACTTAAACCATAATTTAATAAAATATGGTTAAGAGATTCTGGAAAAAAGGGATGGATCTTTAATTTGAACTTAAAAAATCTTTGATCTTTCAAATTAATTATTTATTACCTGTTTCGTTTCCCTATTCCAATGTGTCCAAAAGCGAGTCTCGGCTTTATCGATCTCTCGACTCGGCACCTGGAAATAAGACATCAAAAACTCATGTTAAATTCTGTTTTTAAAACATACCTAGATTAATTATTATTTAAATGTCTTTGTGTGTCTTGGTAAACACATTGCTGCTTATTTAAACACAAAATAAGACATTTAAAGGCAAAATAAGAAAATAATAATTGAATTCTATAGAAATAACTGATCTTGTCGTTACTCTCATGTATCAATCTACATATTCCCGCTTTTTTCTTTCATAAAACCACAATATTGTTGCCAGAACGATTGCTTTGTACATTGTAATGTAATTTTTTCTTAACGGAAGCTTTCAAATAATATATTCTATATATATATACACACTTTCAGATAAAATATACATGTCAAATTCCAAATAAAATTCTAAAAACATGTCATTTTAAATTGGTTATTAAAAAAAAAAGATTTTTCTTTATTTATTCTTAATATAACAATAACAACAACCACTCAAATCAGTATTTGAGGTCTACAACTGATCACTTTTTAATAGTATAAAAAAACAGAAAAATGAAATAAAAAGGACATTTTAAACAGCAGTGTTTGGGTAAAGCATTACAAGTGACTCGAGTCACGTAATCAGATTACTTTTTTAAGTAACTTGAGTAAAGTAATACATTACTTTAACCATCATAGAGCAAAAGTTTACCGTTTGCACGTTTATCGTTTGATCCACTTCAGCACTGCAAAGAATGATATTCTTGAAAAATTTAAAAATTCTTAAATCAAGATGCATTTACTAAAGTAGTAAAATGCCATAAGATATTATAATAATATAATAAATTTTATTTATAATGCACTTTACATTTCAAAGAAATCTCAAAGTGCTACAATAGCAAAGAGGTTAAGATCAATTCCCAGAATATAATAAAATCAACAAAGCATTACAATTATTATTATTATTATTATTATTAAAGCATTATTATGTCCTGATATTAACACCTAATATTATATCCTGTTTTCTGGGGGATAAAATCCAAATTAAGTGAGTTTTTGCTTCAAACAAGCAAAATGATCGGCCAATGTGGTCAGAAAAATAATGTTAATTCAAATGAAAACATTTCTGACCACATTGGCAGATCATTTTGCTTGTTTGAAGCAAAAACTCACTTAATTTGGATTTTATCCCCCAGAAAACAAGACTAAATATCTTATGTAATTTTACTCATCTAGTAAATGCATTCTGATTTAAGAATTTTTAGATATTTGGACTGGAAACAAGACAAAAATACTAAGTAAGAATATCACTTTTTGCAGTGAAATGTTGACTACTGTTTCACAAGACAGATGTTTTTATTCGACGGACGTCTTGATAAAGAAAAAATCTGATAAATCTAATACTTTTTTATTTGGGCGTTAAGTTTGATTAAACTACAGTAGTCAACATTTGAAGTGGACAAAAAAAAAAAAGAGTTAATCAAAGACAAGAATGGGGTATTGTTCAAAATTCATGTATAACTTTGATGAAATGTTTTTTTGATCCACTTCAAGTGTTGACTACTGTAGTTCCACAATCCCTGCTCGTGTCACATGACAGATGTTGTGCTGGACAGACCTTGAATGCGATGGTTTCGTACGGTTCGGCGGCGAACAGCAGATACTGCCAGCGCCGGTCCGGAGGCTCGATCCTCTGCTCGTACGCAGACATGAAGCGATGCCTCGGCCCGATGCCTTCTGCGATCTCTGGGTAATCGATCTGGAAAACAAGAACCCCGGTTACGCCGTCAATAAAGGTTTTCAGGAGCAAAACATTAAAGGTGCAGTGTGTTATTTCTAGCGCATCTAGTGGTGAGTTTGTGAACTGCACCCAACAGAAGTTACGGTGGCCGACAGGAAGTGATGTCGTCGTCTGAGACAGCAGAGAGTAGCCAGTTAAACAATGTGGTTTCTTTACAAAGATAAATTAAGAAATTACGTTTAATTACTCAGTAAAACGATGTTATTGCGAATATTATTGTGACTTGTTCATCATTGTGTCAGTGTTTTATTCGCTGACTTTAGCAGCTTCTTTACACGAAGGACAACATAGTGACGAAACGCGTTTGTACGCTCAGGGCCACCGTAGAAACATGTGGATGTAAGCAGACCCGCGGTGTGTGTAGAGAGAAACGCTCATTCTAAGCTAATAAAAACATAACGGTTCATTATGTAAGATCTTTATACACCACTGAACATAGTTATGTTTATGATATTGCATTTCTGTCAACAGATCCTCTGAAATATTACACACTGCACCTTTAACTTTGCAGACGGCTCTTGAATATCAGAGCGTTTAAACATCCAGTTTCTCAGACAGGAACGACTGGGGACAGTTGCATAAACTAAACCACTATATTGAGTAAACTAGTGTAAACTACTTTGTTAGAAGTAAAGCTAGCCCTTATGTTGTGTTCGGGTCACTTTGACCTGGAGAGGATTTTCCAGGATCCGAAAATGCTACTTACTGTAATTTCATTGCTTAAACTTACTGACTTTACTCACCCAGAGCCCAACAACTTCAAAAATGTAAAAATGTATACTTGTAATTGTAGTTTTTTCCCCCCCCCATTGTAACATTTGTGATGTTCCCAGTCAAAAATGACCGGTCTACAAAAAAATTGCTCATAAATCTCTCATTATGCTACATCATCACCAAATATTTGATTCAATCTTTTTGTCAACTTGTTTTCTTTCAATTAGGACTGGTTTTATATGTATTTTTGAAACTGATTGATCGTAGGCCTCATTGATCAGAGCTTATATTGGTCAAAAATGACTTGGAAATGAATGGGGGAGAAAAAAAAAATCAGAGAAATAATTTATCAGTTCCAAAAATAAATACAAAACCAGTCTTAATTGAAAGAAAACAAGCTGACAAAAAGATTAAATCCAATATTTGGTGATGATGAAGCATAACGAGAGATTTATAAGCAATTTTTTGGAGGGAACATCTCAAGTGTGACTGTGCCATTTTGTACAAAATAAAAGCATTTCAAAACAAATTTCCTGGTTAAACATTAAAGCACACTAGTGTGATAAACAGTGCAATTTATTATCATATAATATGTAAAATTTACAAAATTATCCTCAGTTAACGCTTTTTTCACTCAAAAAAAAAAAGTCCTACGACCGATCAATTCCAAATAGAAATATAAAACCGGTCCTAATTGAAAGAAAACAAGTTGACAAAAAGATTGAATCCAATATTTGGTGATGATGTAGCATAACGAGAGATTTACAGGTGAAACTCGAAAAATGTGAATATCGTGCAAAATTTTGATGATTATGGCTTACAGTTTATGTAAACCCCAAATTTAAAATCTCAGAAAATTACAATATTACATGAAATCAATAAAAAAAAATATTTTAAATACAGAAATGTCGGCCCTCTGAAATGTATAATGCATATGTATATAGTTATATATACTAAATATATTAGTTTCACCTTTTAATTTGAATTACTGAAATACATGTTGCACGATATTCTAATTGCAATATTTTGCAGGGAGGTCATTTTTGACCAGGAACACCACAAGTTTAACACAGTAAAGGGGTTAAAACTAGTTTGACCAGCTAAGAAGTCCTGAAGAAAACACTAGTCTAGGCAGTTTATGCAACCGGCCACTGGATTTACCTGGAAAAGCAGACTCTGCTGTCCGACCTCTGGATCCCTTTGTTTTGTTACTATGGGTAAAAAAATAAATAAAATAGACAAACTTGTTATTTTGGTTGCAACAATTGTGAGCTTAATCACATCAATTTGATCAAAGTCTTGTGTTTGCATCAGGTAAAGTTTAATCGCAACTAGGACTGCACGATATTGAAGAAAACTGCGATATGCGACAACTCATTAAATAATGCGATATTCAATTAATGCTTAACCCTCTGGGGTCCTTCATTTCAGAGTCACACTCAGGACCTTCGGGTCCAAATGGGCCGGAAGGGTGGGATTAATATTTATTAAAAAAAAAATCATAAATTTTTTTTTTTACTTGTTTTTATAAATTTTTTTCTTTTCTTTTTTGGTGTTTTGAGATAATTTCAAAAATAAAAATGATTTATAATTAATATTAATGCAATAATTATGACCCATTTTTTCCCCATTGAATATAATAGAATAAAAAAAAAAAAAAAAAAAGTTTTATATATTTTTTAAAGCTGTATTTCATTTTAGAGTCAAGCCTAGGCCTCATGAAAGCAATTTTTGAAATGAGATGGATGCCATCTGGTGGACAAACTGAGCATTTAAAAAACTCAAAACCCATATGTAATCTGAATTTATTAGAGTGTATGTGTATAAAAGTGTGTGTGTGTGTGTATGTGGATGTGTCTGTTTTGCACTCTTGATGTTTTATAGATTCACCCCTTCACTGTTGTGTGCTTTTTTTCTGGATCGTGGCTGATTTGTAGATTGTACACACAAAAAAACTCTGTATTTTCACATTTTTGCCAATTTCCCAATCATTTCCTATGCAGGTCCATTTGGGTCCATTTTTTTACAACCACTAAGACTATTCAAATCCTGTCCCCAATTTTTTTGGGTGTTCATATGCCAAGTACCAACTAAATCACCAAATTTCGGACCATTTCGATAAAACTACGATTAAAAAAATTTTTTACATTTAAATGCTTCGGGTCCATTTGGGCCGAAGGACCCCAGAGGGTTAAAGTGTGTAAAATAAACGTAAATTATCTTTAAAAAAAATACGACCTACATACGCATTTCATATTCTTCTTGTGACAAGAAAGCGTCCCTAAAGCTTCTGGCAGTGAACAATGTTTTACTGAAGTGTTATTAACATCAGTGTGTTCCGCTTATCCTACATTAGGGTTATTAAACTACAGAAACTGAATAATCAAATGTAAAAATAAAACACTGCTTAGTTT